ACGAGCACACCCTCCCAGCCGACATAGCGAGATCGTCGGGGCTCTCCGTGCATTGTTGTCGGGTCTGAGAGGCAGCGCAGACGGAGGAAGGAGAGGAAGCAGAAGCAGGGCACCAGTACAGGGCTGTGTGCCGAACCCCCTCCTGTACGGTCTCTACATCCACGACTGCAGTCCGGTCCACAGCGACAACCACATCATCAAGTTCGCCGATGATATTACAGTTTACGGACTCATCTCCAGGGGTGACGAGGTGGCCTACGGGGAGGAGATCTTGAAGCTGGCAGCCTGGTCTTCAGAGAACAACCACTCTCTAAATACCAAGAAGACCAGAGAGATCATAATCGACTTCAGGAAGCACATCAACGACGAGTGCGTGAAGAGGGTCCGAACATTCGGGTTTCTAGGTGTTCACATCTCCGCCGACATCTCCCGTTCAGAAAACATCACCTCCGTCACCAAGAAGGCTCAGCAGCGCATGCACTTTCCGAGACATACATGTCTTACATGTATGAACGGCTACAATTTTGTTGTACTGAAAGCATACATTTTTTTGGGGTCGTCTCGCGTCATGTTTCCCAGGAGTTTACGAATAATGTCTATCGACTTGGGCCGCTAGGGTTTGTGACTTTTAAGATATGGGACCCCAGAAAAAGTGTTTGGGAAACACTGATATAGAGTATATGTGCCGTGGCTCAGAATGGTTAAAAAAATACTCACAGTCAACTTTAACTTCACTGACGGTTGTACTGACCAAACCATAACGTGTTTTTTTCAGGTTGAATAGCTGCAGTTTGTCCGAGGTCAGCTGTTCATCTCTGGCTACAGCTCTTAAATCCAACCCCTCCTATCTGAGGATGCTGCTCTTGGGAGGAAACAACCTTCAGGAATCAGCGGTTAAGACGTTGTCTGAACTGAGAGAGAGTCCAGACTACAGACTGGAGACTCTGAAGTCAGTCAAAGTCCTTAGCATTCCTTTGTTCTCATTTTTTGTATTTGAATATGTGCTTATGTTAAACGGGAGTTACAGTTAAATTTTTCTAACCCAGTTCTCCGGTCGTGTACCATAGCAACGATAAGCTAATCGAGAGTGGACTTTCTTGATATACAGTAGGCGTGGCTCGATTTGATACTCTAGATCGGTGTCCGATATTGGTCAAAATTTCAGGTTTAAAAAAAATTACAAAAAACAAAACAAAACAAGGGACACGATGGCCTTAGTGACGCCATGCTGGAGGAGAAAAGGCATCGGATTAATGTCGGTATTGGCAGATAACTCCAAGTTACAATGTCGGTATCGGACATGAAAAAGTTTAGAAGAAGTTGACGTTTGAGAACCACTGTCTTGGATCATTTCGAGGTCTTCCCCTGAAACGGTTAAGTTACTGAGATTTGACAATTTTCCTTCAGAGGTTTTTTGACATGCGAAGATTAGCACGCCGTTACAGTAGGAGACATGGACAATAGTTCAATCAACATCACTGCGATTCTTTCTGGCATATGAGAAGTCAGTTTTATACCACGAAAATAAAATACAAGGCAGGGGGGAAAGAATTACGACGGAACTTTTCTCGCATCTAATCCACCCCGTCCTCTCTCAACAGATTGTAATAACGAACTTCAGAGGGAAGACTCCACACTTCCAGGTGAATCCATATCGTATACTGTGAGAGATGTTGCGAAGAATTCTGTACCTGGACACTGTTCTTCGACAAACATCGAACCAAGATTGATTTCCGGGGTTGGTTTTTGATGCAAGGCTGCCATCTTTTGGTAGAAGTTGGTATTGTTTTGTAGCTCCACTGCTACAGTAGCACTGGATATGCAACCTATCTTTGTTTTACTTTACTTGATTGACAGTATTAACCACTGATCCTTAGCCGCGTTTTAGTCACGTAGTAGTAGACACCTAGCGGCAGAGCTAATTTCCTTCCAACGTTGCAGCAGTTGAGCCATTTCCATTGTTCTACTCAAGGGGGTTCACAAACGTTTCCATGCCAAGGGCCCCCAACAGCATGTTACTGGCAAAACCACAGACAACACCACAAAATATAGGAAGCTCAACTGTTTTCTTACTGTTCAGTATTCAGTAATTATTGCATATGTTGGAGAGTACTGTATAATAAAACTTAATCCCACCCACCCGCTGCACCAGACTGTGGAGGACCTGCGTAGCTCCTTCAGCGGCAGGGCCCGG